CATCCTGCTGGGTATAAAAGTAGGCCATCTCAGAAACAGGAAGAGAATCATACAACCAACAAGAAAACAGAGCCTCATACGTGGTGGAAGCAGCAGAGAAACCAGTGTGTGTTACACAGGGTTCTCTAGAGAAACAAAACCAGGACAGTTATGATTTTATATATATGAATAGAAATAGACAGCATGAAGGAATATAACAGCTAATTGGTCCACGCAGCAGTACAGAGGGCTCAGTTCAACTCACTTCTGTGTAATAGTTAATATACTGGAAGTCCTTCAACTCACGAGGGCTGCTGGGTCCAAGACAAGGAAGCAGACAGTTGAGTCTGCCGTAGGGCAATGCAAGCAGTCTGCCCACAGGCAGCAAACAGCAGGCGGGTCACCAACAGTCAGCAGCTCAGGAGCTTAGCGAAGCAGGCTGGGATGGGATATCAAACTCAAGCAATGCAAGACAACAGGATCCATTTGGGTCTATGGGATTATTCTGATAGATCCATTCCAGCATACCAATTTCCCTAAGTTTTTGGATGCCTTCTTCTACAGTGTATCAAGGTAGTTCAGGTACCTCAAGTTGGTCTAATCTAGGCCATCTGGCAGCCCATGCTTCAGTGAACTAACCAAATAAGCAATTAGATCCTCTCTTAACCTCTCTTGCTGAGACATTGAAGGAAGAATATGTGCTTAGGGGGCCAAATCAAGAAATTCACACTAGTGTTACATTCCTTGCACCCGTATCCCACACCCTTAGTAACCATTCCCAGGAATATTTCCCAGGCTCCTGCTTGTACGTATTTAAAATCTCAAGCAGATCTTTGTGAGTATAGCGCCCTTCTTCCTGAGTCATCATCCGAACCTCACCTTTCTGAGACTTAATTCTAGTTACAGGTCTAGAGTGTTGGGTGTTGGTGGTGTTTCCTGGGGACTCTCGGCAATATCTTGTAAGCCATCTCCCCCGGGCAGTGCTACAGATGCAGCCGCACCTGGCACTTCAGCTTGAACAATTTGGTTAATCTGCTCAGGTATGGGTTGTTTTACTGATAGTAGATTAATCCACTCAGGCGGGAGCGGTGGATTTATTGACTGGGGTGGCTCAATGGACTCTAGGAGCTCAGTATCCTCCTCTTCTGGATCATCAGCCCATATGTTCCCATCCCATGTTCCAGGGCCCCATTTCTTTCCGATTAATGCCCTTACTTTACTATCAGACACTGCTCTACACCTGCAATTCAGCTGATGCTGTAATTCGGCTACTCCTATAATGAGACTCTGGATTTAGTTTTCAGCATTGCCAGCTCTATTACTAGAGGAAAGAAGAGTCTCCTTTGAAGCGCCTGCAGAAGCTTTTAGGTCTGTTATTCGGCATTTGAGATGTGCTTCTGAGGTTCTGAGATTATCCCTTTCCTTGATCACATTTTCTATTGTAAGGAGGACCGGCTTTCCTATACTTCTCATCCTGACAAAACTGCTGGAAAATATCAAACACAAGATCACCCAGAGCCTCTCCTCTCACCAGCACTTCATCTATTGGTGGTGATACAGTGGATAGTAGCTTTGCTACTGCACACCATGGATTAACACCACCCACTCTAGTAATAGTAACAGACTTATCCATGCCTTTAGGGGTAGAGATAGCACTATCAGTGATGTTAAGCCTAATTAGGGGGGAGAACCAATTTGAGAAGCCCATACTTATGATCTTGTTTCTCTAGAACCACTGCTGGTACCAATCTATAAAGTCCTCTTCAGACTCACAAAACACATACAATGATGCTCAATTCAGGAAGATCACAGGCCACTGGGTGGCAAGTCTTGTGGATCCAGTGGCAGTAGAAGCATCTCAGTGCTGGCAGGGGTCTCCACGTGGCTTCTCCAGCTCTGGGCACTAGCTGTTAGTTCCATGTGTCTTGTCAGCTGCAATGTCTCCCAGGGAGTGAGTCAAGAGAGAGAGTATCTATTGCCCACCTCCAAAGAGGAATACAAGAGTTCCCAGAATCCTCAGGAGAAAGCCATGCCCACACAGAGGCCTCATCGGCTATGACCTGATTGATAGGCTAGACTCTACCTCTTCACTCTTAATCCTCTAAAACTGACAAATGATTCAATAACTACCACACACAGGGAGTGGCACTGAGACCATGAGACAGAGCAGAGGAGTCACACTGAGACATGAGACAAGGCGGTGGGAATCCCAGGGCACAGAATGAGGTAGAAGCTAATGGATCCCATGGCTGGGAGGCTGAGGACCAGAGAGAGACATGGCCGCTGGCATGACTGAGTACAGAGAAGTGTATGCTTAATGTTTTCTGATCCTCAATTGTGAGGATAATTGTGAGTTCTGAGAGTCCACTGCACTAAATCATGAAACCCAGCAGAGAAGTAGAGTGTCATGGGAGAGATGGTTGGTATCAGAATAGAGAAAAGGAAGTGGGGAGGCATGAGGGGGTGTGGAGGCATGTCTGACCTCTGCCTCATAGGAATCATCTTTGGACAGGTGTGAAGCTGGCCCCCATGTCGGTTCCTCACATGCCTATAGCGGATCACCTGTGACAGCGGTTTTCAAAGCAGAGATCTTTTTGCCACCGTCCCTCTGGGAACAGAGGGACTGCCTTTTGTTTATCGTGACGAAAACCACTTAAGGGTGCTTTGCCTCCACAACAGGGAAAAGTCCTTTTACTGGAGTGCTACCATGTATCCCAAAAGGGAATCTTTTGGTATAATGGAAGGAAACTATTTCACCAGAGAATACATTGAATTTTAAAGAAATGCTAAATGATTTGAAGGGCAGCCTGAGTAGCTTCTTTTCTGGAGGTAAGTTTACGAGTCTATTTCCAGTGCAAACACCTGGACTCTAAAGCATTTGTCCTCCTCCTTACCTTCTCCCAACAGAGTGCTGACTTCCACCCCAATCCCGTTTCAACGTAACCATTCACGATGCAGTAACCGCTACACGACAGAAGCCTCCCTTTATGTGTGATAGTATGGCTGGTAGGCTACCAAATTCAACATCAACAAAAACTACTTTGACAATTTTTTCACTCCTCCGATTATTCCTTGGAGAGAGAAGGGGCTTTCAACTCCCATAGAAAGCTATGATCTCAGAGGTTCACGGAGGCAGTTCTGCCCCGTCCTGCAGGCTGCTTTCAATCAGCATGGACTCAACGCAGGGGGTTTGCTTGGGGTTTTCAATGACTCAATGTAACAATAAAAACAAATATTTTCAGAGAGCATTCACAAAGGCCTCCCTTTCAATGGGTTTACATTGTAGCAGAGAAATAGGAAGCCCTCAGAAATGATATTCATATAGGTAACAGCTTCAAAATGTCATAGAAAAATTCCATTGTTTTTTCATTCCATTTTCCATGGAACCTTCTAAGCCTCTTCATAGACACAGACATGTGGAGTTTTTTTCAGTACACATAAATGTCTTAACCAATTCCAAACCAGAATTAAAGTTAAGATGTTTCACCATGTAGTGATTATTATGCAACATACCATAGATTATGAGTAAATTTATAGTAAATGCAGTAATAATAATAAGTAATAAATCAAACAGCCTCACAGTCACTAAGTAAATTCCAACTTATAGTGATGGTTTCTGAGCCTGTAAATCTCATCTTTCCCCTATCCAGTGACTGGCTGATGGGTTTGACCAGGGTTTGACCAGCAGTCAAATGCCTCACCCCCAGCACCACTGGAGTTACGTAAGGACCTAACAAGAAACTCAAACCCCACTCACTGTCATTGAGTCAATGCTGACCAATAGCGACCCTGTAGGACAGGGTAGAACTGCCCCTTTGAATTTCTGGGACTATAACCCTTTACTGGAGCAGAAAGCCCGTCTTTCTCCAGTGGAGCCACTGGTGGTTTCGAACTGCTGACCCTGTAGACCACAGCCCAATTCTTAACCACTACACCACCAGAGCTCCGTTCTTCTAAGCAGTAGCTACAAAAAGGTGGACACCCTCAATTGCCTTTAGGGCACATTCAAGGAGCCGTGATGACCCCATGGTTAACTGCTTGGCTGCAAACCGAAAGGTCGGGTGGGTTCAAACTCACAGTAATGCCAGAGAGTAGATCTCACAAAGATTACAGCCTAGAAAATCCTACGGGGCAGTTCTACTCTGTCCTATAGGGTCCCTGTGAGTGCAAATGGGCTAGCACGCACACCACACTACCACAACAGGGTACGTCTGACACTGAAGGTCGGGAATTAGGTCGAGGAATAAAACAGTATTCTGGCCCCGGATGTTTTTTGCTAAGATGCAATAAAAACATTCACGTAGCTGTTTCATTTAGAGAAAGAATCTTAGAGTCCCTCGCTTGGCTGCTAACTGCACGGTCAGCAGTTCAAAACCATTAGCTTCTCCTTAGGAGAACGACCAGGAGCTTTCTACTCCTGTAGAGAGTGACAGTCTTGGAAATTCCGAGGGGCAGTTCTGCCCTGTCTTACAGGGTCGCTCTGAGTCGGCAGTGACTTGATGGCAGTGCGTTTTGAGTACAGCGTCCCTCAGGGAAAGGTGTCAAATAATCACACTGAGGGGCACTGAGTCTTAAAAGACCAACCTCCACAAGGGATCCATTCAGCCAGCAAGCCCACAACGTGTTTTCCTTTCCAGGCAAGAAACGAATCTGGCGGGTTCCATTCTTATTCCAAAATGTCCCACAGCCCAAAGTCTAACCGAAGATCAAAATGTCTAAACCACAGGAGCTCAGAAGCCATATCAGATGACGTTACCTTTCAAGTGCAACCCATCACCTGTACATTTGATCAAGCTTTTCTCACCGGTGGATGAAAACACAGGAGAAAGCCTAATGTCCCATAAGGTGTACAAGAAAGGGTCTCCTGAGATCCCTTCCAAGTCCGTCAGAGCTTATAAAAGTGCGTTTTAAGACAGGAATAAAAACAAGTAGAAAATCCACGAAACCAATGTTAAACTTTCGGTGAGGAATAGCAACTACAAGAATCATTTTTTTAAAACCGTAAGTTAGAGAGTACTTACTTTTCCCGGGTCTTTGGTACAAAGCTCAGAAGGCCCCTCCACGAGGTGTGTTAATTACTAGCAATCACCCAAGGAGGACAGGCAGCCCAGAGGTACCTGGAAATTGTGTAAAGGCAGAAATTTTAAATTCAAAGTCAGGTTAGAAACTTGAAACATTGAAGCACCTCACTGCTATTCAAAGGATCCCTGCATAATTAAAAGAAAGACTTCATTGGCATGCCTAAGTGAGGAGATACATAAGTGATTTTCCTTTCACGGTATACCAACAGGGCTTTCTAAATCGAGATGGTATTTTGATCTGCCGTCTTATTAAAGTTCCTAAAGCAGGAATCAGCAAGGCTTCTCGGCAACCGTTCATGTTGAAGTGTCTTCTTGGGGAGTCACAGAGAGGAGCCGGGCTTCTAATTATACTGAGACTCGGGAGGGAAGGTCGGAAATCGCACTTGGGAGCCCCGCCCTCCGAAAATGAGCTCATCCCACAAACTCGGAGGCCGGGGTGAATTGAAGGATGCAACCACAACTTACAGAAGATCACCGCTCTTCCTACTTGGGTCCTTTTATAGGAGGAGAACGGGGAGATAAGTACCACCCCCCACCACGATCCCCCGTAACTCTGCAAAGGGATGCTGTGGTTAGCTGCCAGTGAGTGGCCAGCTGCCAGCTCAGGTAACGCTGTGCACAAAGGAATACAGCGCTGCCCTGGCCTGTGCCAGCCCCTAGCCTGGTTGTGGATCAGACAGTGTGATCTAGAGGGCTTTCCGAGGTTGCTCTTCTAAAGCAGGTCTCCAGGCCTTTCTTCCTAGTCTAGTTCAGCCTGCTGAAGGCTGTTTCCCATCAAGCCTCTGGGACGGATGGATGGGTCATGGCTGCATGGGGACTGTGTTGGCTTGGAAATGAACTTTGGAAGGTGGGACCTCTCCCCTGCGCCGCTAACGTTCTCTGAAAACGATGTACCAGCATTCCTCCAAAAAAGGCAACACTGTGGGCAGACTGAGGGCACCGGAAACCCATACCCGAAAGCCCGTGCAGCCCCAGGCTCTCACCCAGGACCTCGCTCCGTATGTAATTCAAAGCTGCAAGACACCTCCTTTATAAGCCACAAGAGCTTGCGAAATCAGTCAATTAGGAGGATGCGGTAAGTGCTACTACAAGCGACCATAATTAAAAAGCAGACAGAACCCATAAACACCAATAAACATCATTTATTATTACTGTTATTGCCAACACTTACGCAGCGCTTACTCCGTGCCAGAGCCTCCTCTAAGTGCTTTGTATGTACTAACTGTCCATAGGATGGGGACAAGCAGCATATAGCGCCTCAATTACCCCAGAGCATCACTGTGCTGGTGGTACACACATTACCCCCTTGGCTGCTACACAAGAGGTGGGGGGTTCAAACCCACCCAGTGGGGTCTGGGGGAGAAAAAAACTTAATCTGCTCCAAACAAACAAACAAATAAACCCCATGACCTTCAAGTTCATTCCGACCCACAATAATACAACGTGACAGAATAGAACCCCACAGTTTCCAAGGCTAGAATCATCACAGACGCAGCCCGCCACCTTTCTCCTGAGGACCTGCTAATGGGTTCAAACCAACACTCTTTCGGTTAGCCGCGGAGCACTTCACAACTGTGCCACTCCTTACTGTAAAGGTTACCACCTGCAAACCACCACGGGGCAGCTGTAGTGGCCACACTGGGTCCCTAGGAGCTGGAAGCAATGCAATGGTACCTGAATACAACATCATCCCATCCCGTTAGAAGTCCTGCATTTGTTCCCAAGATTGATATGTTAGAGAACAGTTTTAATCCAACTCAAATTTCATGTGTGCTGTTACATACGCTAATGGCAAGAAGCACGAAGTGATTGAAAGTAACCGTACCGGGGCAGGCCCAGCTGCCTAAAGATGGACAGAAGGCCTTTGGTCCTCACCCTTTTACCCCATTTACCAGCTCCCTCTGTTTTTATGGTTTTAGGTAACCCTCCTTCGATTACTTCAGAATACTTCCCAAGCTGCAACCCTACCCAGGGCCCTGCCCACAAGAAAACTGCAGGTCTTTCCGAGGTCAGGGGCTACATTACATTCATTGCACTGCTGATTGTACTGCACAGTCAACAGGACAAGGGAATATGACTGCCGGTTAAAATCAGGAAAGGTGTGTGGCAGGGTTGTATCTTCTCAATATCCTTATTCAATCTGTCTGCTGATCAAGTCATCAGAGAAGCTGGATTGTGAAGATGAATGTGGCATCAGGATTGGAGGAAGGCTTATTGATAAGACCAAAATCCTCACCACTGGACCAACAGGTAACGTCATGATAAATGGAGAAAAGACGAAATTGTCAAGGATATTGTCTTGTTTGGACCCGCAATCAGTGTTCATGGCAGCAGTAGTCAAAAGATGTATTGCATTGGGTAAATCCGTTGCACATGACCTCTTTAAAGTGTTACAAAGCAAGCAGGCTAACTTTGAGGACTAAGATGTGCGGGCTGAAGCCACGGTATTTTCAATCGTCTCCTCTACACGTGAAAGTTGGACACCGAATAAGGAAGAACAAAGAAGAACCCAGACAGTTGAATTATGGTGCTGATGAAAAACATCTGCACCACGGACTGCCAAAAGAACCAACAAATCTGTCTTGGAAGAAGTACAGCCAAAATGCTCCTGAGAGGCAAAGATGGCAAGACTTCAATTCATATACTTTGCATAGGCTGCCAGGGGGAATCATCCATGCTTGCTAAAGTAGAGGGGAAGTGGAAAAGATCAAGACCCTTGACAAGATGAGGTGAATTGGCACAGCGGTGACAACTGGGGCTCAAACGTACCAAGGTCTGTGAGGAAGGCACAGGAGCGGTCAGGGTGCCATTGTGCTGCTGGACAGGGGGTTGCTAGGAGGAGGGACAGGCTCCATGGCACCCAACAACCGCTGGATAGGTTGGACTGTCCCTGTCTGTTTAAATGTACCACGGACGGACTGACGGAGTTTTCTGAGTGCCCTCTCTCTGCTCCCATTGCCCCCGTGTGCCGTATGCTTCTGAATGCCTGGTTCGTAGGACAGCAGAGCGGGCTGTAAAGTAAACTACTTGTGTTTATCATGATGGTTGTGATTTATCCTAAAGGGCTTATAATTGTGATTTTTTCTATTTATCTCTCTGTTTAAGAGAAAAGCGTTCAATACAATAAAATCTTAAAAATAGTTTCACTCATTAATGCTTACAAGTACCAAGCATGAGCACGTTAAAGGGCCCATCTCTTTAGTGAAAAAAAAAATGTATATAAGGTACTTGTAATGAGTTATGTACATGAGATGTATTTGTACCAGCACTTTTAGACCAAGAGGATGCTGTCAAAGGAAAACAGAGAAGAGGGTGTAAGTGTAATTGCTGGAAAGGGCAAACTAAAGTGAATTACGTTTTGTCCTTTAAGATCAATACATTTTTTCAAAGTGATTTTATTTATTTTTAAATAGACCCAAGATGTACCTAAAGATACAAATAAGTATAAAACCATTTTCTCTGATAATATAAATTTTAAACAATTAAAAAATTCAAATACCCAACACAGACAATTCGCTTTTTAAACTATGGACTATATTTAACAAAATAGGAAAACTGTTCTTAGGCAACGTTAATTGGGAAAACCCCAAACCAAAACAACTGCCATCAAGTCCATGCCAATGCACCGGGACCCTGGAGCACAGAGAGGACCTGTCCCTGCGGGTTTCCGGGGTTGTAACTCTTCACGGGAGCAGAACGACTGATCGTTCCCCGAAGAGCCCTGGTGCACTTGATCGGCTGACCCTGTAGTCAGCAGCCCAGAGCTCCTTACACCCCACCAGGAGAGAAAGCCATGAAACAGTGTGTTCCATATGATCCCATATTTATTTTAAATAGTGTCCTTAGAAAAGGAACACAGAAAATGAGGAGCTGATGCCGGGGGCTTAAGTGGAGAGCAAATGTCTTGAGAATGATGAGGGCAATGACTGTACAAATGTGCTTTACACAATTGATGTATGTATGGATTGTGAAAAGAGTTGTATAAGCCCCTAATAAAATAGTAAAAAGATTAAAAAAAGAAAAAGAAAGAAAAGGAACACAGTGGCGCAGTGATAACACATTGGGCTGCTAACTAAGAATCCAGGAGTTCGAGCCCACTAACCGCTCTGCAGGAGAAAGAGGCAGCAGGAAAGAGTGCCCCCTAGGGAATCCTAGGGGGCAGGTATACTTGGCATTATGGGCCGCCATGAATCAGAATCAACTCGATTCTCGATTTTAGCACGGGGGGGTGGAAAAAAATACTAGGACTGTTTTCTTTATCCTTACTGCAGTACCCAAGTTGTTTACAATGATCATATGTGTGATTATTTTTAAGATAACATGAATAGTATTCTTTCATATTATAATTGAGGCACCCTGGTGGCACAGTGCTTATGCTTTGGGCTGCTAATTTCAATGTCTGCAGTTCAAAACCACCAGTCATTCCATGGGAGAAAGACAAGGCTTCCTACTTGGGTAAAGAGAGATGGCTTCAGAGACCCCCAGGAGCAGTTCTACCCTGTCTTATAGGGTCACTATGAGACAGAACAAACTTCATGGACCGGAGAGGTGGGGGGTGTTAAAATGAGCAACAATCTGAAACTAAAGCATTTGGTGGGGAAATCTCCTTTCTCGCCCACCCCCTTTAATCAGTCCACATGCAAATGCAGTCAGAAGAGGAAGAGCCCAAGGGCCTGGGGCCTCAGATGCTTCCTTACCAACCCAAGTATGTCCAGATCCAGTTGGATGGCTGGACCCTGGGAAGTACTCTTTATCTCACAACGCAAGGGCAAACAATCTCAACGGAACTGATGAAAATATATGAACTCATCATAGAAGCCAAATGAGCATGTGTTCTTACTAGCTAAAGCAGTTACGGATTCGGCAAAAAATTCAGATAATAAAACCAGTATTTATTTATTTATTTATTTAGCAGTTTTACTGGCACATAATCCACCTATCACACAATTCAATGGTTCAATCATATCAAGATAAAACAAAATTTTAATTATATTTTTTTTCCAAAATTTTAATTATATAATATCTCCCAAGCTGTC